TGCATAGAAAACAAGCACCGATCGTCCCTTCACCTTCAGACGTTCCTTTACAGAACTCATTTGGGCCTCTGGATATGGAGGTTACTCTGTCCTCACCGGACAGGCGGAGGAGTAGTTCCTCCTCACATTCACGCGAGCGATCTCCAATTGAGCCACCATGACTCAATTGTCCAACATAATACAGTGGAATTGCAGAGGACTTAGGCATAATTTTAATGAGATACAATTATTAATACAGGATTTTCAACCGTCAGCATTGTGTCTTCAGGAAACATACCTGAAAACTACAGATCAGTTCACCTTACGACAGTACAATGACTATCATTCATTTTCTCCTCCAGGAGATAAAGCAACGGGAGGCTCTTCTATCTTGGTGCGACAGGGGATAATACATAGTCCTGTCCCCCTAAATACCAATCTTCAAACTGTTGCTGTTCGTCTGACTCTGCACATTGCTTTTACGCTGTGCTCTTTGTATATCCCTCCTTCTTCTGATCTTCAACAGTCTGATCTTCAAAATCTGTATGACCAGCTCCCAAAGCCCTGCATCATCATGGGTGATCTGAACGGACACAACCCGCTTTGGGGAAGTGCAAATACCAGTTCTAAAGGAAAAATCATTGAGGAATTTATTTCTGACAACAACCTGTGTATTTTTAATGATGATTCTGCAACATATTTACATCCAGCCACTGGAACTTATTCTGCCCTCGATCTGTCACTCACAGACTCAAACTTGTATAACGAATTTGCATGGTCAATCCATGATGACCTGTGCGGGAGTGATCATTTTCCCACAGTACTTAAAACTGTTAATCCTACTGATGAGCCACCATCATGCAGATGGAACTTTACCAAGGCTAATTGGTCCTTATATGAGGTACTGTGTACTGACACAATAAAACATCACATTTTCCAGAAAATTCCAGATCCGATACAGTTGTTTTCGGATTTACTGAATGACATTGCTGACCAAACCATTCCTAAGTCCTCTGCGAATTCCCATATTCGTAAACCATGGTTCACAAATGACTGCAAACAGGCCAGAAAGTGTAGGAAGAAAGCAGAAAAATATTTTCGCCGACATCCTACAGTCCATAATTTGAATAAGGTTAAAATTACAAATGCCAAAGCAAGACGTGCTTTTAAACAAAATAAGCGTATGTCTTGGAGGAACTATGTCTCCAAAATAAATTCCCGCACGCCCATATCCAAGGTGTGGAATATGGTGCAGAAAATAAAAGGCAAAGGTTCAAGATCGTCTGTTCACCATCTTAAGGAAGGTGACACGTTCTTAACGGATAAAACAGATATTGCCAATAAACTTGGAGAAACGTTAGCGAAACATTCTTCAACTTCTAATTATGTCCCGGAGTTTCAAAAATTTAAGAAACAACAGGAGAAGATCAAAGTTAATTTCACTTCTGATAATGGTGAAGACTATAATGAAGTCTTCTCATTACATGAGCTACATACCGCCCTTGGGCAAGCTCATGACACAGCAACGGGAGCTGATAACATTCATTACCAGCTTTTAAAACATTTACCAGATTCTTGTCTGGAGACACTTTTAGACATATTTGATCAAATATGGACATCAGGGAATTTTCCTACTTCATGGCATAATGCCATTGTAGTCCCAATACCGAAGCCTGGCCGGGATCATACAGATCCCTCTAACTATCGACCTATATCCTTAACAAGCTGCGTATGTAAAACCATGGAACGAATGGTTAATAATAGATTAATTTGGTATCTGGAAACCAATAATCTAATTACAAATATCCAATGTGGTTTCCAAAAAAATAGAAGTACTATCGACCATTTAGTACGATTAGAATCCTTTGTGAAAAATGCTATTGTAAACAAACAACACGTAGTATCAATTTTCTTTGATCTTGAGAAAGCCTACGATACTACTTGGAAGCATGGCATTTTAAAGGATTTACATGATTTTGGTTTGAGAGGCCGTTTGCCTCATTTTATATCACAATTTTTAACAGACAGACAATTTCAAGTCCGAGTGGGTTCCACCCTGTCTGACCATTATAATCAGGATCAGGGTGTCCCACAAGGCAGTATATTGTCTGTCACCTTGTTTAGTATTAAAATTAATAGTCTGTCCAAGGTTTTAAGTAATTCAGTGGATGGATCACTGTTCGTGGATGATTTTAATGCATCTTGTTGTGGTAAAAATATGCATACCATAGAGAGGCAGTTACAAATCTGTCTCAATAAAATTCATAAATGGTCTCTCGAAAACGGGTTTAAATTTTCTATGTCTAAAACTAACTGTATACACTTCTGCAGAAAATATAAGCCGCATAAAGACCCTGAATTATTTTTGAATGGCACCCCTATCAAAGTTGTTAAAGAGGCCAAATTCTTGGGACTCATCTTTGATAGCCATTTAACTTTCTTACCACACATTAAATCTCTTAAAGCTAAATGCCTGAAAGCACTCGATTTGTTGAAAGTTGTTTCTAATTCCAAGTGGGGAGGGGATCAGACTACCCTCCTACACTTATACAGGTCACTGATCCGTTCCAAACTTGATTATGGCTCCATCGTCTACGGTGGAGCCTGTAAAAGTAATTTAAAAAAACTTGATACTATCCATCACCAGGGACTGAGGCTTTGCCTTGGAGCCTTTCGCACTTCTCCTATTCCGAGTCTGTCTGTAGAGGCGGATGAGCCTTCTCTTAAACAACGCCGTCTGAAACTATCTTTACAATACATCACTAAATTATATTCCAATCAGTCAAATCCAGCCTTTAATTGCGTATTTAATCCTTTGTACGAAGATATTTACAATAAGAAAACATCTCTTGTTCCACCCCTAGGAATAAGAATTAAATCAGTCATTTCTGCTGCGAACATTAACTTTCAGGATATAGCTCCGACAAAACTTTTTTCATCGCCTCCTTGGCAGATGGTAAGACCAACTGTAGACCTCACATTAACAAAACTTAAGAAATCTGATACAAATCCACTTATTTATAAACAAGAATACAATCAATTACGAAACACTTATGACACATATAAATCTATATTTACAGATGGATCCAAGGATGGTGGCGCAGTTGCTAGTGCCACTGTCATTGGATCCAGAACAGTATCTTCACGTTTACCCGATAATAGTTCCATATTCACTGCAGAAGCGCACGCAATTTTAACAGCACTACAATATATCAAGAAGAAATCAAAATATAAAGACTTCATTATATTTTCAGATTCACTTTCGTGCCTTCAGGCTATTAAAAATATGTCATCTAAACATCCATTTTTAATTGAAATTCTTGAGTTATTTAATGATCTTGCGACTGGCCAATATGACATCGTTTTTTGTTGGTTACCAAGCCATGTTGGGATTGTTGGTAATACAATGGCTGATGCTGCCGCAAAAGCAGCACTCAACAAATCTGTGACACCACTTCTTTTACCATACAGTGATTATAAACCTGTCATTAGATCTTACATCAGAGATCTAATGCAGAAGAAGTGGGACACCCAAGTGGGTATAAATAAATTACATGCAATAAAGCGAATATCGGTTATACCTACTTGGGTTGTCAGTCCAGATTTGAAGAGGTCATTTTAAGACGATGTCGTATTGGCCATTCACGTTATACTCATGAATATATTTTAAAAGGTGAAGATCCTCCATTCTGCGTCCCTTGTGATGAAAGAATCACGGTCAAGCATGTCCTGCTTGACTGCATTGATTTTTCCATCACAAGGGATAAATATTTCAAGGTATCAGGTATCAAGGATCTTTTTTATCAGGTAAGTAGTCATTTAATTATTGGTTTTTTAAAGGAAATCGAATTACTGCATAAATTTTGATTGTTATAGTTTGTAATTAAATAAATAACTTTTATAATTGGTAGAATTATTCAGTAACTGGGATTGTTAGTGGCTATATCCTCGAAGGGGGTTAAAGTAGTGTAAAATTATTGTCCCCCTGAGAGGGTATGTAAGACCACGTCTTTCAAAGTATGTTTATTTCTGCTCGTTTTTAGACGTAGTATATATGTACATTTATTCTGGCTAGATTTGTCATTAATCGCCAACAGCGGAAGGGATGATGTAAATCCGGCTGGGGTCCATGCAGGTAGCAAAAGTACTGTAAGTCCCCATGGACCCTAGCATGGTGATCTACCTTCAGCTGCTGGCGATCTATAGCCCTTTTTTATATTGTACCGTTATATATAGTGATATCTTTTATAGTTGTATGCTAGTTTTAAATATTAATCTGTGATATTCTAGTAATTTTACTGTCCATCGTTGACAGCTTTTTATGTTGTATACATTTATGTATTATTAATGTACTTCTCGTCACGATAGGAGTGCTGGGTAGCGCTAATAGCTCTTCCCCCGTGTGGAACCGGGGCAGAATATTTCCACAGCCTCCCATTGCTGGTCGTATGAGGCGACTAAAATGGGCAACCTGTTTGCCGTGGGTTGCGCCCCGTGTCGGCGGAGGACGGGAGTCTGGTAGTTGAGGGCACTGGTTCCTGGAACTGTGTTCCTTTGCCCAACACACTACTTCGACCCTTACTTCGCCTAGACGGGTGGTAAGATGGGCCCGGTCTTATCAATCGGCTGGTCATGCCAGGCCCTGTGCGTAATATTGTCTATGCACAACTGTGTTGTAGTTATTGTATATTTTGGTCTTGGCCATGCATAACTTGTATGAACTAACAATTTTGGATTGTATCAATTGCCTAGAGTCTTACGCCAGAAGGCGGTGGCTCATGGGCCAATCTGGTAATGTTGACCGCTGAATTCTGTATGTCTCTAGTTTATTGTTATAGGCAGAACCAGCTTAGCAATAAATTTAGTAGACAAATATTGCTATTCATGTCATATTTGCTGGAGTATAACACCCCTGTAGCCCTGGTGTTTTGCATTTTGGATATCCAATGCATTCAGACGCCGTCCTTGTTGACACTCGATGGTGGGTGGGGAGCAGGGGTACAGAACCACTTTATCTCACTATGTCGACAAAACACTCTGGTTCTAAAAGAAAACATTTAGATGCTAGCTCATCTGATGATGAAATTGATCGCCAATTGGATTCCTGGGCTCGATTCATTGTGATCGAGGCATCAAATCATGAACCCATGAAATTAAATCCATTTGTCATTTCGAAGGCTATCAATGGCTGTTGTGGTGAGGTTAAAAATGTCACCCGCCTCCGTAATGGCTCCATACTTGTGGAGTGCGTACGGAGACAGCAATCTCTCAACTTGTTATCACTCAGCCAATTTGCAAATGTAGAGGTTGCTGTCTCAGCACATCGAACACTGAACTCATGTCGAGGCATCGTACGAGACAGAGCCCGATGTCTGTCTGACATGAGTGAAGATGAAATTGTTGTAGAACTGTCCAAACAAGGAGTTACAGCCGTCAAACGATTCACGAGAAAACAGGATAACAACATCATTAAAACTAACACTTATCTCTTCACATTTTCACTTTCGAGAATTCCTGATTCAATTAAAGCTGGATATTTTAATATCGGAGTGGAGGTTTATGTCCCAAACCCACTCCGATGTTACAAATGTCAAAATTTTGGGCACGGTGCCCAGACCTGCACCCGCAACCCAGTCTGTGTCCGCTGCAGTGGCTCCCATGAGGGTACTCAGTGCACAGACACCATTAAATGTGCAAACTGTGATGGGGACCACTTGGCCTCATCCAAACTTTGTCCAAAATTTATTCTCCAATCAAAAATACTGAAAGTAAAACACACAAATAATGTCTCTTTTCGTGATGCCAAAATCTTAGTTCAAGCTCAATCACCAAGTATTCCCACAAAATCCTATTCGGCAGCTGTAACTTCCAATCCTATTGTTAAGGTTGCTACAACATCTATCGGATGCCAGACAAACATCTCTTGGGTGGGTGATCAGCAGAAAACTGTAGATGTCACATCTCAAACATCTTCTGATGATACTATTACAGCAACATCAGCCTCACAGACAGAGGTGCTACAATCATCACATCCTGTTCATGAAATATTGGAACCAGAATCATTGCAAAGAGACTTACATCTAACAAAAACTGAAAAAAAGAAACTAAAGAAAACGGCGAGGGCACTCCACCACTTGGAGGTGCCTTCCTGTCAGTCCACATCTGTTAAGGTTCACAACCAAATTGAACCTTTGGCGATGGAGGTCACTCCATCGCAGACAGGCCATGGGAGTAGACCTCCCTCCAAGACAAGATCACCCATAGAACCACCATGACGAGTTCTTATCCTATCATACAGTGGAATTGCAGAGGACTAAGGAACAATTTTAATGATTTGCAGCTATTGACTCAAGATTTTATGCCATTAGCATTTTGCCTACAGGAAACGTACTTCAAAAATACTGATCAGCTCACCATTCGACAATACGATTCTTATCATTGTTTTTCACCTCCAGGGGCTAAGGCTACTGGAGGTTCTTCAGTATTGGTACGGCAGGGTGTCATTCATAGCCCTGTTCGTCTGAATACCCCTCTACAAGCTATCGCTGTTCGTATCACCATGCACATTGTTTTCACTCTGTGTTCTCTTTACATTCCTCCATCTGCATCTCTTCAGCTCACCGATCTTCAGGCTCTCTATGACCAGCTTCCTAAGCCCTGTATCATAATGGGCGATATGAACGGACATAATCCACTTTGGGGTAGTGATCACACAAGCAGTAAAGGCAAGCTCCTAGAAGATTTTATTTCTAACAATACTCTATGCCTTTTTAATGATAATTCTAAAACATATTTACACCCTGGTACAGGCACATACTCTTCTCTTGATTTGTCTGTCACAGATTCCAACCTGCTAAATGAATTTGAGTGGTCAGTCCACGATGATCTCTGTGGAAGTGACCACTTTCCAACCATATTAAACCCTATTACCCCATCTGATGTTCCTCCATCATCTCGATGGAACTTTACAAAAGCCAACTGGACTCTATATGACATTCTCTGTACAGGCAAACTAACACCTGATCCAATACAATGCTTTTCTGATGAACTCAACAAAATAGCTGAGGAATGTGTTCCAAAGTCCTCTGGGATTCCACACATACGTAAACCATGGTTTACCGATGACTGCAAGCGAGCTAGGAAGGCGAGGAAAAAAGCAGAGCATTATTTCCGCCGCCATCCTATGGTCCATAATCTAAATACATTTAAAATTTTAAACGCTAAAGCAAGGCGGACATTCAAACAAAGTAAACGTCAATCTTGGCGAAACTATGTGTCAAAAATAAATTCTCGAACACCCATGTCCAAAGTATGGAACATGATCCAAAGGATCAAAGGTAAGGGCACTAAACCTAGTATTCACCATCTTAAAATTGGGGACCAACTACTTACTCATAAATCAGATATTGCTAACAAGCTTGGTGAAACTTTGTCAAAACACTCTTCCTCCTCTAACTATGTACCTCAATTCCAAAAATATCAAAAACAGCAAGAAAAGAAACCTATTAATTTTACTTCCGATAATGGGGAAGATTATAATGAACTCTTCTCTATTCATGAACTCCACACTGCCCTCGGACAAGCTCACGATACTGCTACAGGAGCTGATAACATACATTATCAACTCCTGAAGCACTTACCAGAATCATCCTTAGAAACACTTTTGAATATTTTTGATGTCATTTGGACCTCAGGGAAGTTCCCTCCTTCGTGGCGTGATGCTATTGTTGTCCCGATACCCAAGCCCGGTCGAGATCATACTAACCCATCAAATTACCGACCAATATCATTGACAAGCTGCGTTTGCAAAACAATGGAACGCATGATAAACAATCGCCTTGTTTGGTACCTGGAATCCAATAATCTTATTACTAATATACAATGTGGTTTTCGGAAAAACAGAAGTACCATAGACCATTTGGTTCGCCTAGAGTCATTTGTAAAAAATGCAATAATAAATAAACAACATGCTGTATCTATCTTTTTTGATTTAGAAAAAGCGTATGATACCACTTGGAAGCATGGTATCTTAAAAGATCTACATAATTTGGGGTTAAGAGTCCGTTTGCCTCAATTTATATCCCAATTTTTAACAGACCGACAATTTCAGGTTCGTGTGGGTTCCACCCTGTCTGACCATTATAATCAGGATCAGGGTGTCCCACAAGGCAGTATTTTGTCTGTAACTCTGTTTAGTGTAAAGATTGATAGTCTGACAAAGGTTTTAAATGATTCCATTGATGGTTCACTTTTTGTGGACGATTTTAATATGTCATGTCGTGGAAAAAATATGCGTACCATCGAGAGACAGTTACAGCTATGTCTCAACAAAATCGAAAAATGGTGTCTTGAAAATGGATTTGAATTTTCCAAAGTTAAGACCAATTGTATCCATTTTTGTAGGAAATACAAGCACCACAAGGATCCAGAGCTATTTTTACATGGCGCTCCTATCAAGGTTGTAGAAGAGGTCAAATTCCTGGGTCTTATTTTCGATCACCATCTTACTTTTAAGTCGCATATTAATAATCTTAAAACTAAATGCCTGAAGGCTCTAGATTTGTTGAAAGTTGTTGCCAATACAAAATGGGGAGGTGATCAGACTACCCTCCTCCACTTGTATAGGTCTCTGATCCGCTCTAAATTAGATTATGGCTCCATCGTTTATGGTGGAGCCTGTAAGAGCAATTTACAAAAATTAGATTCCATTCACCATCAGGGACTAAGACTTTGTCTTGGCGCCTTTCGAACGTCTCCTGTGGAAAGCTTATATGTAGAAGCTGATGAACCATCGTTAAAGCAGCGGCGTATCAAATTATCGCTTCAATATATTGCAAAATTACGTTCTAACCCGTTAAACCCTGCATTTAACTGTGTATTTCAACCCCATTACGAAGACCTTTTTCATAGTAAGCCTAAGCTGGTCCCACCACTAGGCATTCGGATTAAACCCCACATTACAGCTGCACATCTTGATTTAGATAATATTTCTCCTTTCAGGCTTCTGTCTTCCCCTCCTTGGCAACTTATCAGACCGGAGGTGGACTTGACACTCACACAATTTAAAAAACAAGACACAAATCAATTAGTATATCAGCAAGAATATTTACAAGTTAGAGCTAAATACGAATCCCACCGTTCTATTTTTACAGATGGATCCAAGGACGGCAGCACAGTCTCCAGTGCTGCTGTCATTGGATCCAAAACCGTCTCATCTCGCTTACCAGACCATAGCTCCATTTTCACTGCTGAAGCCAAAGCAATATTAACTGCTTTGGAATATATCCAAAAACAGTACAGTTGTAAACGGTTCATCATCTTTTCAGATTCATTATCGTGTCTACAGGCAATCAAATCTAGCTCTTCGCATCATCCATTCATTTTAGATATTTTAGAATTGTATAATGACCTTGCTACTGGCCAATACGACATCGTCTTTTGCTGGTTGCCCAGTCATGTTGGAATCACGGGTAACACTATGGCTGATGCTGCAGCAAAGGCAGCTCTCAACAAATCTGTGACACCACTTCTACTACCATACAGTGATTATAAACCTGTTATTAGATCCTATATCAAAGACCTAATGCAGAAGAAGTGGGACACTCAAGTGGGTATAAATAAATTACATGCAATTAAAGCAGATATTGGTTATACCTACTTGGGCTGTCAGTCCAGATTTGAAGAAGTCGTATTAAGACGATGTCGTATTGGCCATTCTCGTTATACTCATGAATATTTGTTAAAAGGTGAGGATCCTCCATTCTGTATCCCTTGTGATGAAAGAATCACAGTCAAGCATGTCCTGCTTGACTGTGTGGATTTTTCCATCACAAGGGAAAATTATTTCCAGGTTTCATCTATGAAGGATCTTTTTAAGGTAAGTTCTCATTTAATTATTGCTTTTTTAAAAGAAATAGAATTGATTGATAAATTTTGATATGTATTGTAAAAAGTATGTGCTTTTAATTTGGTAAAATGATTATATAACTGTGATTGTTAGTGGCTGTACCTTCAAAGGGGGTTGAAGTAGCGTAAAATAATTGTCCCCCTGAGAGGGTACATAAGTCCTATTTCATTCAAAGTATTTTTCATTTTCCATGTTTTTAATCGTAGAATTCTTGTTGTTTTTAACTGATTTGGCTTAAACTTGCTGACAATCACCAGTAGCCAGAGCGATGGTGTAAATCCTGCTGGGTTACCATGTAGGTAGCAGAAGTATCGTAAGTCCCCATGGTACCTAGTATGGTGTCCTACCTTTGGCTATTGGTGATCTATAGCCCATTTTTATTGTGTATTGTTATGAATTGTTACAAATTTTATTATGTTATGCTAGTTTTACAATCTACATCTGTGATGGTCTAGTGTTTTTACTGTCCTTTGTCGACAGATTTTAATGTCTATATTTATGTATTATTACTGTCCAACTTAATTTAGTCACAATATGGCTGAAATATTGCCGATGTGACTATAAATCTTAACTCACTCACTCACTCTCGTCACGATATGGCTGCAATACTGCCGATGTGACGTTAAATCATAACTCACTCACTCACTCACTTACTGGAGTATAACACCTCTGTATCCCTGATGTTTGCATGTTGGAGATCCGGTGCAATAAAACATCGCTCTTTGTAGCACTCCATGGTGGGTGGGGAGCAGGGGTGCTGAATCAATTACTTTCACCATGGCTCACAATCACTCTGGTTCGAACCGCAATGAAAAGAAGAGACGTTTGGAAACTTGAGATTTTATCATCTGATGATGATGCTTCTCTCATACCAAATAATAATTCTTGGGCACGTTTCTTGGTAGTTGAATCCAGAAATGAATTACCACTAAAAATAAATCCTTTAGCCATATCTAAAGCCATTGAAGGTATCTGTGGTGAGGTGAAGAATGTTTCACGGCTCCGGGGCGGTTCTCTTTTGGTAGAGTGTGCACGGAGACAGCAAGCTGTCAATCTTTTGAAATGTACTACATTTGCAAACACTGAAGTTGCTGTCTCTGCGCACAGAACGTTGAACTCGAGTCGGGGGATCATCCGCGACAGAGGCCGTTGTCTGGCGGAAATGAATGAAGATGATATTCTTGACGAACTCAAAGATCAACATGTCACTTCAGTGAAACGGTTTACTCGAAAGGACGGAGAAAACATTATCAAAACAAATACTTATTTGTTCACATTTGCACTGTCGACTATACCACAATCAATTAAGGCAGGCTATTTCAACATCGGAGTGGAGGTGTATGTCCCCAATCCACTCCGATGTTACCA